ACGAAGAAAGAGAGAATCAGAGTTCAACATGGACGACGCAATTGATAAAAGCAGCGCCATATACTTGATGATGCGCTCGTCTAACGACTGAACGAGACAAAATAGGAAGAGAAAAATATAAAACAATAAAAGAAAACTAATACACGAGGGGCTATCATACTAACAAATTTAAAAATGATATTGATAACCATAGATGAAAGTTTCAAAAACCAGCAATACAAAAATCGTGAAAAGAGCTGTATAATAAATTAGAACGAAAGGGATTTTCGGTTTAGAGTATTCGAATATAAATTCTTAAAATAAAATATTGCGTACTATAAGAGATAAAGACATTTCGACGGATCGATCTGGGATTTTTGTTACCTAGTAGAAGAAACATTCCAAATAAAGTACATGAAAATCAATAATGAGGGCAAGAAAATTATATAACCGACTACAAAAGTTTCAATAGAAAGATCAGATTATTGAACCGAAATTGGGAAATTTCAAAACTAGGATGAAACAGCCCTAGCTACCTAGGGTAGGGAATGTAGGGCATGCGACATTGTTGCGCGCATAGTGGGGGGAGAAATTTGCTGAAACGCGCGACAAAATAGGGAAGAAAATTTTGTTCGTGTGTTGCGAGAAAATATTACCGGGATGAAAGTGCTTTGTGTGACGTAGTGGAAGCACAATGTGCCTTATTCATGAGCGTTGCCTTCCACCCGGAACATTCTCATTTTTGTTGTTTCTCCTTGTTTTGCGGGGTGTTTTATCATATTTTAAAAAATTCTAACTGAGGGCCCTTTACTTCTTGATGTTAACATTACTCGTACTAGTATTACGTAGTATTAGTTATAGTCATAGGAGTACTATGAAGCCATGGTATGATGAGGTATGGTACGTACATACCATACCATTGGCATCTGCATCCGATACGGCACGAAGAGATTAGTAATAAACGAAGTTGGCGCACATCAGGACGATACTAAAAAGGATTGCGCATTGGCGGATGAATTCCGTACCGAGCAGGTTGGCACGTGGATAAGAGACGGGCGCCATAGTAAAAATGTCGGCGGTGCTCTCCAACGTAAAATTATCACGTGGATTTGAAATCCGAAGCTGTGTAGATTTTCTAGTTGTTTTGGACCGTTGCACAATTTTTCGGCGCGGCTGGCATATTAAACTCAAAATTTTCATCATTTTTTTCGCATCCGGCAGCGGTGCGCGGCAAAGAACTCCGCCCGAAATCCTGGGTACGAGTGCGAACGGTCAGAGCACCAGATYTGTGCTTTCACACGTTTCCGTTTTGACGAGAGGAAATGCCTCTATTGACTCACTTCGTTGTTCTACTCACAGCAACCTTGTCCATTGAAGTAATCCGTGACATGTCCAGAGTCTGGTAGTGGTACACTTTGACATCAAATAATCACAAACACAATCATCATCGTAATACATTCTATCTTTCTGGAAGCAAATCCGGTAGACATCAATCAAGTAACAATATTAGCAATCAGAAGAGGCTAAAGAATTTTATCCACAATATCAAAATGAAATTCTCTTTCACAGCGCTATCGCTTTCACAACTACTAGCCTTCGCATGCCCAGCGTCTGCTATGTTTCAGATCGACAATTCTCCTAATCTTTCCGGAAACGGACGAGGTTTGCGAAAACTCCTTTCAAAAGCCAGAAGGCTTGAAGATAATGACGAGGGCAACAATGACGATGGCGGCAACAACGGCGGCGAACAGAATCAGGAAGAAATGGAAGCCTTTCTTATGGATTTTTCAATGAAATTCATGGAATGCATCCCCGACCAAGTTCTTACAGACGCTGACTACAACGATCACTTTGGAGTTGTAATTTTCCGACTCTGCCCCGCAAATTCATGTTCCGATAACAGCGGTTGCAAATCGGGGTATGCCGATTTCGCTGTTGATGTAGGCACTTACGTTGACGCCTTCTTGACAGATCAAGCAGACAATATGAATTGGGATGACAAATTTGACGGTGACGAAATGGGTGAGTGCACCCAATTCAAGGCAGAAGGCGGAAACGACGACGGTGTTTCATATTACGTGGGACCCGGCTGTACATCGGACGGCAAGGGTGTCAAGTTGGGCCTTTTCGAAGACCAATATTGTTACCAAGAATCCGAAACGAGTTTCGAGACCATTTCCAATGGATGGGGACTCCCTTACAGCAACGGAGGTCTGGTTTCGACGCAATGCACGAGCTGTACCGAAGATGGTGGCTTAAGAGAAATGTGCTCGGATCTTTACGAAAACTCTCCTCATCGATGCGAAAAAGAATTCGACTTCAAACACTACTACTATGATACGAATTTCGAGATGTACCGGTACGGCCAAGACACCACTGGTTGCACAAAAATTGATGTCATGCTGAATCCCAAGGGTGTATTTTCTCAGGGAGCCGTTTGGACGGATGCAATTCTTGCCGTGATGTTGCTAGTAGTAACTGGTGCGGGATATGCATGGTACTCGTCCTGGTGGGAAGAACGTAAGTAGTTTCCAGAATAGTACTGGTTCTTTTCGCAATCGAATACAATCAGTCATCGAGTGAATATTTCTACCTTGAAGGTTTCGACATTTCTTATCATTTTTGGATCCTCTTTCATTTACTCTGTTGCGAACCACAGAAAAACTAAACCTCGAAGAAATCGATGACGATGAGGACAGCCAAGCTTATCATCTCGGAGGAGATGAGGACGAGGATGACCATTCGGAATTTTCCCAACACGGTGCAGAGCTGAACGATTCAACTCTTACCGAGCCCGTTGTAGCAGAAGGGACTATGGCGTAAAGAAAGCTCGTTCACAAATTTTCTCGCCTTTTTATTGCTTCGCCCCACCGGTYCGAAGCAATGATAAAGAAGGCTGTATTTTTCTTACTCCTATAAAGGAACGCAAGACCCGAAGATTGAACTCGCTTCTTCTCTCTCTTTGTGCTTTTGATAATCCGTCTCTCAAATTTATCCTTAATGCTAAATAGGCAAAATGTAAATTACTTACCCCATGGATGTTGATGACAATCGAATTACTAGTATCGGTAGGTTGTATCAGCGGCATTCGGATCATCAGCTGGCTCCTATCAGCACACGCAACAGCCACACTCGTATAGGCACCTGTATCAGCCGCACATACCAGAACTTGGTTGTCCTAGCAACCGCTCTCTATCAGCAGCTGACTCCAGTTCACCTGGCAGCTCTAATTCTAGATGTCACGAGCTGTATCAGCAGCACTTGTTGTTGCGTTGACATAAAGCTCCATTAGCATCGTACTACCACTACTAGTATGCAATCAAAGACGAGTCGATACCCGAGGAAGGCACTGAGTGTGCGATGCTACGAGCGAGTACTAATGCTCGTCCTCCTGTCCTTCTCCTCCTTGTTATTGCTTGTTACTACTTAGAGAACTAGTAGTAGTTCTACTACTAGTAGTAGCTCGTTAGGAGTACAGTACATTTTTACTGCTTGTTTCCTCAGAAGCAGTAGTAGTCTTCAAATACCGTACCGTACTACCAGTCAATACAACTAATAGTAAGGTTAGTACTAGTAGTACAACTACTAGTAGTAGTAGTAGCGGTATTACGAGCTTGAACTGAAGTTTCTCAGCTATCGAGTGAGATTTAACTAGTACCCTATTATTAGTAGTAGTAGTACCATCACGAAGTAGTAGGATCATGGAAGTATCGTCCTTCTACGACTACATGCATGGTACCGTACGTACTCGTACACTAAGTACGGTACTGTTCCTGCTTCACGATGTACCATACCGTACGGTATCGTTGTCTACTGGATATAATAGAAAAATGTTTCTGGAGAAGCTAAATCAGTGCCAATTCAGACATCGCGCCGTTCTTGGTTGAACGGCGCAGCGAAAGTGCGTTCTTCGTACACCACATCTGTAACCGTGTCAGTAGAATTGACTTTAGAACGTAAGCAGATGAACTTGGTGYTCTGGTTGACCACTACAGTATCMGTTAATTGGCGCGCGCTTCGACTCGCTAYATCGCTCAATTACATAATATCTATATCCGTATATACTTTATTTTGTATCGGCATTGCATGTAGGATCTAACGGATCTGACATTGGTATTAAGTTGCCATTGGCGAGCTGGGCGTGCCAAATCCTCTCTTAAAAAGTGCAGACTATCTATTTTCGCATAGAAAAAAGGAATAGATTCTTGATTTCTTGCCCTTCAGTAGTAGCATAAAACGCATTTTCATTTCATTGCAAACCAAACAACAATCATGAAGTTCTCCACTGCCTTCCTTGCTCTTACCGCCATCGGCTCCACCGCCGCCAAGACCATCTCCGGAAAGGCCGCTCGCAAGTTGGTCCGATCCGCCCGTCGTCTCGAAGACGCCGCCGAGGARGAGGAACAACAAGAAGAAGACTATGCCTTCCTTGGTAACTACAACGTGAAGATGGTTGGCTGCAAGTCCCAGTTGGAGACTCCTATCATGAACGAAGMSGGTGAGTACGAATACTCTGCCGTCCTYCTCCGATTGTGCCCTGCCRCCGACGGATGTGACTCTTCCKCCACCGAAGGATGCAAGAACGGATACGGAGAAATCCTTGTTGGACTTTCCACCTACGTYGAGGCCTACTTCGAGGATATCAACAAGCAGCAGGAGGAGAACGCCAACGACGGYGAAGAAGAAGAGGACGAATTCGAMGCCGACCGTTACGCSAAGTGCGAAGAATACAACCCCGACGAGAACGCCGATGATGCCAACCAAGGTCAATGGGAGAACTACGCCTTCTTCGTTGGACCCACCTGTACCGAAGACGGCTTGRRCCTCAAGCTCGASCTTTTCCAGGACGAATACTGCTCCACCAAGAGTGAGATTGAGTTCGATGCCATCTCYAACGGATGGTCKCTTCCTTACAGCGATGGCGGACTTGTCTCTACCAACTGCGCCTCTTGCTCTGAGTACAACGACGACGGTGAGCTCGAGATCAAGGAAATGTGCCAACAGACTTACGAAGAAGCCGCCTACAAGTGCGAAGAAGGTATGGAAACTTACTCCTACTTCGGACAGAACGTCCAGGGATGCGAAACCATCGAAGAAATGTTCCCCAAGACGGGCGGAAACGGAGGAAAGATCTTCGGATGGATCGTCTTTGCCGGAGTTGTTGCCGGACTTGGCGGATACGTCATGTGGTGGCGCAAGAAGAAGGCCAGCAGCATCGAGTAAACGCGTTTCATCGCGTCACTCCACCGGTTTTATCCAGCTTACTTTTGTACAGCCGCGAATTCATCTCGTCTCTCAGCCGCCACCTGCGGCTGAAGGCGACATGATCTCTTACGGCAACTCTGTTGTTCCTTCCAGTAGTCGCTCTGCCATTACTCCTATGCACAAACGCGTATCGAAAGTCTGTCAATAACCGATCATTTGGTGTTGGTTTCTATGCGTTGACTCCAAGTCATGTTCACGTGGTGATAAATGTTTGAGGCCCCACTCCGTGTTGGTGGTTTCGGCAATTTATCAATAAAAGTATAAAAAATACATGATTAATTACTCTTGTCTGCAATAGCTTCGAAACTTTTATATACTAGTAGCAATCGCCCGCACATTGGTTTCGTTTTGAAGCAGAAAATGAATTAGCTCCGCTGAACTGGAGATCGTATGGATATTAGTGGCAAGGAATTCAAACACACATAGATGAATCAAACGCTCTGTGGAATCCAAAAACATCGACCCACGTGTGTCTGATGAGCCTCTACCGAGAACAAACWAGCGTACAAWCTAAGCATCGAAAAGGAAGTCTCTTAGTTCAGCGATCGAAATCAAGACAGCATATGGTGTGCCATATGGATCCCCAAATGCTTCGATATCAAGATCCAYGAACACTGCTGTAACAAGAGAAAGGTGATACCACGAGGAAGGCGAATGGAATCGAGATCGCACGTGCGGCAGATGGGGGCCAAACCGAAAAGCATGTCTTTCGACGAGGCAATGGATATTGTGTTCCGAGCACGAAGTTAGGTCCCGTTGACATCAAGTTGGTGCAAACGCTCAATCGAAACAGTGATCTTTTGGAAGTTTGCAGAAGGATTCTCGATCTCCAGTTCTGAATCGTTTCATAATTCTTGCATTATCCGTTCCTAAGAGCCTTAGCATCTTTTCCTTCCTAGTACATCTTAACAACGGCGTCTGGTGCACTTTCTATGAGAGTCTTTTCTTTAATTAAGCGAATCTATTCGCAACAAAGCATCGGTAAATGATTTGTGCAAGATGAGAACACTGCCACCATGATAGTAGACAGCGATATCTGCGAGAATCGTCTTCTACACCTATAATCATAATGGTCCCCGGATTTACATGGGCTGCCTGCCTCGCAACAAAGACCATCTTTGGCTTAGGCCTCACTTCTAGTGTTAGATCGCTCCCGGCTGGTTTCGAGTATACGCGCCTGGTGTTCATGATACACCTTCATGCACACGTCAGGAATGCCTTCGGGTAGCTTTGTCCAGCAGGCGTAATCAAAGGCGTGCAGCAGACACAAGGCTCTCGCTATGGGACCTCCTTCTTTCCATACATCCTTGGCAGCTTTGTACAGTCCCAGCAGATCCCTGGAACTGTCATGCTGGCCATCTACGTGCAGGTTTGGAAATTCGTCCACGGGTGGAGCACCGGGACATGTACCGGAAATAAAGGCAGGCCATGTCGTAGTAATATTCACGATGCTTGGTATGTAATCGGTAAATCTCTGTTTGAAGTGTGCTAACAGGTTCAGCATTCGGGTCATTGAATAGACGTGTTGATATTCATGATTCTTCGCAATGGCATCGTCTTCCCGCAAGAAATCCTTGACAAAGGCCGAGAAACGTTTTTTCCGAAGACGGTGGAGACGGTCGTGATCAATTTCTTTTGGTGGATTTGCTTTTGGTACCCTGCCGCCAATATCAGAGGTATACGTATAGGGAACCGCAAAATGGTAGGGGGCGTCGGGCCTGTTCCCTCCTGTATTGTTCCAGTTAGGAAATTCGATGAGCATTCGATATTCTACCTCGTTATATCCAGACAGGAAATGAGATATTGGATCTCGAATTGCAGTATATATACACGGGGGGCTTTCTAATTTTCTACTACTTTTCCAAACGCCGACACGTTTGAGTGCTTCCTCCAATGATATAACATTCTCCGTGTAATGTCCATCGAAGCGCTCCTTATCTGCGAAGAGTTTCTTTTCCATTTTCCGAATTTGTTGGTTGGCRCATTTCCAAGCAGTGACGTAGATGGTCTGAAAGGAAGAGGAGGAGTTGTATGCCGTTACGAGCCAGCCGTTCTCRTAGAACTTCCTGGAGAGCTTTTGGCTCGGGTGTTTCGAAGTTCTTTTGAGTTCGAGATCCGGGTATACGAAGGCCTCCTCTCTCCCCAACTCGAAGAACAGTTCCGCAAGACGAGCTCCCCGTTTCTGATTTGGGATTCCGTCATTGCAGATAGCGCGTTGAAGAGATGGCCATGTTGAGGCGAGAAAATGATCGCTGCCCTGGTACTTCTGTTTGCCCGTTCGATCTTGCGATCGGCTTTCAAATTCTTTTGTGGTATTGCCAGATAGTTGATGATGAGTACTACCCTGGTGATGCTGTTTGTGTTTACCGATTGCAATCGTCGCGTTAGGGGTGTCTTTTTTGCCATGTGTTCGGCGTTCACCTTGTTTRWTGAATGCGCCTTGACGACGCTGATTTTCGGTTTTTGAGTTGGCGTTCAGAGCGTCGGTTGCGATTTGCATTGGGCTTTTAGCTCGTTTTGTGACATTGGAACCAGGATCATTGTCATCTTGTTCGTTGGCTACAGCTTTTTCCTTCGGGGCGTCTATTTTGGCTTGCAATTGGTAGTCAATTTCTTCCGTCAAAGCAAGGTCGTGAACCACGTTCACAGAAAGAAAAGAAACGACGCAAGCGAAGAAGAAGAAACATACGATGCCTCCTCTCGTATCCATATTTCTTTTCTTTCAGTTTTTTTCATCACAGGGGCCCGTAGAAGTTTCGGACTTCCGTTGTTTTAGATTCTTGCTGAAATATGGATTGGCAGTATGATAGAGCTTCCTCCACCGATTGATGGGGTAGTGCGTCAGTGGAAACTTGTGTTAATGCAGGGGTAATATCGAAGTCTAGGTGCGAATGACACTGGCTAGAAGTAATTCGACCAGTGCCATGCAGGAAATAAATACTTCTAATACAGTACGTGCGTACCGTACGTACTTCTGATCTTGGGGTACGGTAGCGCGGTACTTGGTACACGTATTTGCCATCTTCATGGCTCTCCTTGGGGAACGGGCAATGTTCAACGGATGAGATTCCTGATAAATAATTATGATTGCCTGCATTTGTACTAAGAGTACAAATAATGAGAAACCGTTACTATGAGGTTTGCATGATTTCTATTRGTAGTCGAGAGAAATTGATGAATCCCGTAGATTCTAAAGACTAAAGACTCCTGGTGGAAATTGGACAGAAATTGAAATAATACAGGAGTACGAAACTGTACCGGTTACTTCCAAAAAATATCCTTATGTTCTCTCGGGAACAAGATTATCAGACTTTGAGTTGACTGCAGAGCGAATCATTGTCCTTCGAGATCTAAGCCAACCGTAAAAGTATAATTGGAAACACTAGTACTAGTAGCTGTAATATTGAACGGTGAAGAGGAAGCTTTCGGAAGAAGATAAGTTGACGACCAAAGAGCTGTCTCCACCATACGTTGGCAGACTTTCCAATACTATTCAATAGAACTATTACCAATTGCATAATCGGTATTGATCTTTTAATCTCTAAAAGGGATGCCCCATCCTTCTGACAGATAAATAGCTCGAGACCTTCTCTTTGTACGGGTGTTTGTTTCTTTCTTCTCATTATTTTTCAAACACAATTGTAGCTCAATTCAGGAAGATTGAAGAAAATAGTACTATTATGTGCTCAAAACTGTTCTCAATCTAGTGCTCACGTGCTCTCTGAAAGACGTTTCCAAATTTCGCGYCAAGTGAGAAAAAATCTCGTCACTATGGTTCCCGATCTAGTAGCAAAAACATCCATTCCATTGGGAACCATATTCTTCTAAATAATTTGAAACGATCGAGGCACATCTGTCGTCCAAAAAGCCATCATCGCCTCCTTCCCGAGAGCGACGAAACCAGCAGCGATGCGGCCAGAACAGTGATTCCGCCGACGGAGGCACCGATGATGGCGGAGGGAACGTCGATGTCGGACACGGATTGGGGCATCTCGCCCGCAATGTTTGCGGGAAGGGCTTTGTGAAGTTTCTGGTGCGTCGACACCACGAACTCCTTTGCATCGGTCCGAAGCCTGTGCTCCCATTTGTTTACGGCGGCACCGATGGTAGCTACCGTGTTTCCAATTCGTTCCGTCGCCAGAGTAACCCTCGGGTAGGGTCCTTTCCCGGTGACTTCCTTTGCCGGGGCTTCCGATGTGGACGCSTCTCTGGCATGCACCGAATCGTCGGTTGCTTCTTTTTTGTTCGCTGCTACATCCTCGGTTTGCACCACCGGCGCCGGGGCTGCATCGCTTGCCTCATCGGTGGCAACCGCGGGCACCTGGGATCCTTCTGCCTGCAGTGCGTTGTTGCCATTGTTGCTGTCCCGGATCAGCTGCGCGATCGTTTCCGTTCGCTCCCGTTCCCGCCGCCTCTGAAAGTACTGGGAGCCCAGAAAGACGCACGAGTTTAGGCAGATCAGCGCCCAGGTCCCGTAGGTCCCCAAAACACGCCACTGATCCTGCCAGATCTGCTCCTCGTGGTACCGCCTCCGCATCTTGTTGATGTAGTCCAGCTGCGCCTTGGTCAAAAGCTCCTCCGACCGTGCCAGTAGGTGCCGGGCCTGCTCGAGCTCGGCACGGCTCGTGATCTCGAGCGATACAAAGTCCGCAAACCGCTGGGCGTCTTCCGGCGTCCAGGACTCGCGCCGCTGGAGCAGCTGGAGGTGCTGGCCACTGGCGACCTCCCATTTGCGGAGGGAGTCGTCGAGGTTCCTCCGGTTGGAGATGACCTCCGCCGAGGCCAGGTCATAGGCAGCTCCGGCAGCGTCGACGGACTCCTTCAGCTCGAGAATCTCGGACATCCCGGAGCGGTCCGACCACAGCCGGTGGGCCTTGTCGTAGTACTCCGAGACGATGCTTCCTGCCCCGCCGGTGGCAGGGGGGGCAGCCGTCGCCTCCGATGCTTCTCCGAGTGGTGTTTGGGCTGTTTCCACGGCGGACGTTAGCGGTGGGGAGATTGGCGATTTGTTTCCCTCGGTGCTGGTAATTTGGGACGGATCTATCGGCGATTTCACAGAAGGAGCCGCGGGTGGGGGGACGGGCGAAGACGATTCTTTCGCATTGTTGTTGTTTGTTGCGGTCAACGGCGTGGTGGACAACGAGGCGGGCGGGGAACGAGAGTCAGACGACGGGATCGAGTGTTGTAGCGGCTGTTCCAATGCGGATGGTGGAGTTCCGGTGCTTTTGGCACTAGCAGCATTGTCTATGGGAGATGGGGGATTCACGGACGAAAGGCTACCCGCAGCGGCCGATTCGGGACCTTTCGCAGCAGCCTGCCTCGCATCTCCTGAGGCAGACATCCCGGGCGGACTCCGACCCACTCCGTGATGGTTGTCGCTTCCACTGTTGTTGTTGTTGTTGTTGTTGTTGTTGTTGTTGTTTCCCGTGGAGAGGCTCCGGGCCCGAAACAAAGCGGCAGCCGGGTTTCCTCCCAGTTGCCGGAGATTGGGGCGACGGCACAGCGCGGAAGCCCCTACTGTTGTCGTTTCGACCCATGCCACCGAACGGGCAGCAGTGCACTGCTGCCTACGTCCACAACGAATCGCGGCAGTGGTAAAGTGGGGAATAGTCCTTGGTAGCATGGCGTCCGATCGTGACGGTCGTCGTTGTCGTTGTCGCTGTCGTTATTGTGTGGAACAGAAACTGTCGTCCCGAACCGCAAATTCAATCCTTCTTGAACGCTGGAGTGTATGGTAATAMAAAACACAAGCGACCGCGATTCTACAACAATATCGAACTGGAAAGAAGACAAAACAACCAGTGCTTATCAGTACATGGCCGTACGATAGGACCAAGCTGTCGTCATTGTTTGAACGCCGTGAATTTCGTTGTTCGGATTGATTTTTTTGCATTCCTTTCTAACGGTTAGAAATGATTCGAGGGGGAATATGGAATGCTCATTTTTTCAGAACAAAATCGTATATTTGTAGCTTAAATATCCGTGTTGCATACTTCCAACAAAATAATGGAACAATGGGTCATTCTTGAATATCATGATGTTCCAATGAACAAGAAACAGTAGCAATGAATACTATTAATTCGGTGTAGATCAACTCAACGGATAGTGAGCATATTATTAGTAGAAGTAGGACCTGCTAAAAAAGTCATTGTTTTGATTGTTAGATATTGCGCCTTTTTTATCCGTTTAGCGGGCATACTGGCATACCATCCTCGATAGGTTGAACGCTTCTTCCTACTTCGAGGCTACGCTGTTCTGGGATTCTCTCAAAACAGCAACTACCAACATAAATAAATACTAAATACTTCAATCAGTTCAGTTGAATTATTATGATTTACGTACGGTGCAGCCTGTGAAGTACCAGCACGTACGATATCAACACGACCCAGGTATCGTCTTCCCCTAACGCAAAACAACGCAAGCTGCTACGTAATTATATATCAACCGCTTAATTCATTGTCTTGGTGGCACAGGGAGGAAGCAAACTTCCCTTACTGTGCCGGTCCAGCTGCAGCTACGAACTAGTGCGGGACCGATGCATCAACCGTATTGATTACAAGAATCCCATCTGACAACAAGAAGAACAGAAACGAGATCAGCAGCAAGAAGTAGGAGGCAGCGCAACTATCTCTCTCAGGATTCCGTTTGATTTTTGCCTCGATTCTATTGCATTCGATYGTAGTCGCTTTTCAGTGCAAGCGGAGAAACAAACACTGGAAATTATCTCTACTTCAATCCATCCGGCAAGTCACCCGTCCAAAATCACACCAGCGACATGAGCAACGGCGGCATTCCTACCGGTAGCGGCCACGACGAATCGGTGGCCATGAACTCTTCTCGACACAACGAAAATGGTGCCCCTTCGGCGCAGCCCCTGCCCAAGTGCTTCTGCAACTGGAAGTACTGTAGGGTGTACCAGAAGGCCTTTCGCGAGTACAAGCACCCGCTGTACAACGGGGTCGTCAAGCTAAAGTTCCACGAAAACGACCCCGTTTCCATGGCCCTCAAGGCTTCCATCGACAGGACGCTGTGCGTGGAATCGKGCAAGCGAAACGACTGGAAGGAAACCGAGGAGGGGGATACCCGCTACTGTCGGTATTACGTAGCACGCCACCACTTCACGGAACCCCTGATGAAACAGTACCTAGGCAACCGCCGGGCATGGGACTGGAACGATCTCCTGGACGAGGAAGACGCGCAGCGATTCCTCTACAGCACGGACGAACAATACGTCTATAGCGGCAAGGATGGCGTTGACGATGACGACGACAGCGACGACGACGAAGGAGAGAGTGGCAAGCTTCGGTACTTGCAGAGCCCGAATGTTCCCAAGGAAGAGGTCCGGGAACTCCTAAAGACGCTCAAGGCGGAACATGCGAGACGCGAATTCGCAAACAGCACTAGCCGGACGCCCCCCGAATCCCCGTTGCCGTCCCAGCGAAAGAGSGGAACTTCTCAGAACCGACGGGAGCAGGACGATCGGCCGGTCTTGTTGTCACCCAAACAAGAGAACGAAGAAGGCGACAACTACTACGCAGCGACCAGCCCGCACAGCAGGAAATCGGTGAGCGGCAGCAGAAAATCAAGCAAGAGGAACAACGGCAACAGCAATAGTACTTCAACAAAGACAACTACCAAGTCTTCATTGTCGAGAGAAGAAATAGTGATAGACAGCGAGGACTACGAAGACAGCGACGAGGATGAGTACGAGGACAATCACAACAGCACCCGCAAAAGCAAAAATACGAGAAATGACAAGACTTCTCGCAATCCCCGCAAATACACCACGTCAAGGAGCAAGCGAAAGATCGCGAAGGAATCAGACGACAATTCCTCGTCGTCGCAATCCAACGGGGTGCGGGAAGAAAACATTAAACTGAAAGAGCAACTCGACAGCTGCCAGAAACAGATCAGCATGTTGCAGAACATCGTGGAGAAACTCAGCATGCACGTGAACCTCGACGACGATGGCGATGCCGGTGCGCGTAAACGAAGCGACGGTGGCAAAAAGAGTAAGGGCCACAAATCRTCAAGGAAGGCAAAAGAAACCACGAAAGCTAGAAGAAAATCGAAGATGAAAGCGGACTACAGCGATGACGATGATGACGACGACGACGATGTCGACCTTTCCGACGTTCAAAACTCGCAAGACGYGGAGGAATCTTCGTCGGAAGAAGACGACGATTCTTCGGAGCAGGAGGAGGTCGCTTCGCGGAATTATACTTACAAGGGCAGCAACGGAGGCCTGCACACAAGTTCTCGCCGACAAAACGGCAGCGAGCAACGCTCTACCACACGAAACAACCGCCAGTCCATTCGGCGTGGGTCCATTCATTCGCGCCGCTCGATCGTATCGCGATCGTCTCGCCACCACTCAAGGAGGGGAAGCATGAGGGGCGGAGGCGACGATGCGGCCTCCATCATGTCCCGGCAATCCCTCCAGTCCATCAGTGTCAGCATCAAGTCGCTTCCACGGGAAATCGAGCTTATGGACGACGACGACGACGAGTACGCCCGGGGCAACAAGGACGATGGCAGCTTTTTCGACGACAACCGATCCCTAGGAAGCCGGTCCGCCGCGTCCCGGGTGTCCCGCAGATCACTGGTATCTGGATCCCGCATACGAAACCGCAAATCGGCGGTCCGTGCGGGCAACGGGAGCGTAAACGCCAACAGAGGAAGGAAGGGAGGCAAGCCATCGAGCCGCGGCGCGGTCCCACAGGAGATCGATCTGAGCGGTGACGAGCTTGAAAACCCCGACGTAACCCACGCCAACGTCTCGACGGACACGCTCTTTGTGAAGGAAAAACAAATCGTGGATCCCTACGGAGAAAAGGGCGTCTATACGGGGGCACTCAGCAAGTCCACCTGTATGCCCAACGGCAAGGGGCGCCTAGAGTACGAAAAAGAGAGCCGTTGGTACGAGGGAGACTGGATCCACGGTCGGTGGACGGGCTACGGAAGGTTGTCAAACGGAGATGGCGACTTCTACGAGGGTGGTCTGAAAAATGACCACAAGCACGGAACGGGAATCATGAGGTTCGCCGACGGACGCGTCTTCGAAGGRGAATACATTCGTGGCCAGATGATTGAGGGGAAAATGACCTACCAGGACGGATCCGTCTATGGCGGCTCCTGGGTCGACGGGATGCGGCACGGAAGAGGAAAGTGCATATTCGTCGATGGATCGGAGTACGAGGGGGAGTTCCGCGAAGGAAACTTCCACGGGCACGGCAAAATGTCCTGGAACGACGGCGGCTGGTACGTCGGAAACTGGAGCAACGGCGAAATGGATGGCCAGGGCAAAGAGGTCCGGCCGGATGGATCCCTCCGGCATGACGGCGAGTGGTCCGGGGGGCAGCCCATACGGTCGGCCTCGGAGAATCGCCGGAGGCGGCAGCAGCAGCTAGCGGCGGCCGGGACGGAGGAGGACCTGCCCAACGAATGAATGCACCGGACGAAGGAATGATAGCGACGCGAAGAACAACAGCAARCAAATGCAACCAAACCAAACCAAACCATGTATTAACAAAATTACAGACATCTTTCCTTTTAAGAATACTTTACTTTCTTCCATTTTTTGGTTTTCTCATTCTTCTTGTATTGCTGCTATTACTACTACTGGTAGAAGTACTAGTAGTACTACTGCGACTACTAGAGCAGGAGGAAGAATGCAAATACTAGTGAGGAAAAGAAGACATACTATGAATTACTTCGTACGAATCCTCTTTTACTAGTAGCAGTAATGGCACCAGCAGTCATTACGTTATTCCTACTACTAGTGTTTGTACCATAATCCTACTGTCATTAGCACCAGAAACACTACTACTGTACTACCGTAGTTAGTACTACTAGTACTACTGATAAATACTATGTAATAATCATGATACTTATATTACAAGAAAGAAGCGTAGTACTTGCTTCTGGTGCTACTACTAGTAATAGCTGGCTACCACCAGCTGTAATTGATAGTGTACCAGGACGCCACTATTACCACTATTACCACTGGTACTAGTGCTAGCTAGTACTTCTAGTACGGTAGTAATCCTCAAAATTTTCAATTCAATCGTAGGTTCAATGTTTTCCTTCCACGTGGAGTTTCRGTCCCACTTATTTGCTACAGTACGACAACGTACGTAAGAGTACTGGTAGGCTAGTCTGTGCGTGTATCGTCAGAGAAACAACGCTTTCACTTGACAGGCCCAAATTTGCCTTACATTTTTTACAAGTTTTTCCTTCTTGGAAGTGACAAAACAACAATTCCATCTAGAGTAGAGAAAACGCCTCCTGTAACACCTCCGATTGCACCCAAGAGGAACGGCAACTATMTACGCAAATAGATACCCAAGTATACTACACCGCAAAGTGACGGAGAAAACGTCGCACCGAATTCCGAGATCCTTCCTTGCTCGTTTCCGGATTGATTCTCATCTCACGCATCACACTGCTACATCATAATACATACTTCTGTAATACGCCAAGGCAACAACGACTAAAATGAAGAACTTGTCCGCCAACAAAATGGTCGCCCTTGCGGCGTGCGCTGCTGCTTCTGCGACGTCATCGACATCGACCACGGCCTCGGCGCTGTCGACGGCTCCTTCGACAACGGAAGCGGGGGTATCGCATTGGGTGGCACGGATAGCTAGAGGCGGTGCCGGAAAGAACAACCAGGACGACGACAATGACGACGGAAACAGCACTGCGAACAAGCCCAAAAAGTCGTCGTCGTCGAACAAAAAGAAAAAATCGGCGAAATCCAAACGAGAGGAAAAGGCCAGCAACAAAACCAAGAGCAAAACCAAAGGCAAATCGGACGCAGCTGGAGAAACGACGAAGAAAAATGCCAACCCATTGCTGGAAGAAATCGGACACGATGATTTCTACGACGTTCTGGGGGTAACCAACACGGCATCTGAACGAGAAATACAAAAAGCTTATAGGAAACGATGTGTCCAGACCCACCCCGACAAGACGGGCGGGGATCGCCGCGCCTTTGACAAGGTCGCGGAGGCCTACGCCGTCCTGTCGGAGCCCTCTAAGCGGCAGATCTACAACCGGTACGGAAAGGAAGGTCTGGACCCTACTTCTGCCGCCGGGAGCGGTGCCGCCTTCGGAGGCGGCGGAGCGGCAGCGGATATGTTTCGCAGCATGTTCCAGCAGCAACAGCAGCAGCGGCAGGCGAGGCGCAACCAGACCCTCCGGTACCAGTTGGAGGTAACCCTTGAGGATTTGTACTTTGGAAGAACCCGGAGTGTCACTGTGTCGTCACCGTATAGCCGCTACYACCAAACCTCGAACTATCAGCGACAAAAAGGCAAGCAGGTGGAGGTGAACATACAGAAGGGGATGGTGTCCGGCCAATCGATCGTCATGTCCGGGGAGGTCGATTTCAATGACGACAACAGCCCGCCGGGTGACCTGGTGTTTATCCTGACCGAGGCCCCCCACTCCACCTTTACGAGAAAGGGCCACGATCTGGCCATGGAACTGACCATTACGCTCGAGGAAGCACTTTGTGGGCTGAGGCGGCCCATTCGGCACCTGGACGGGAGTGAGCTATGGATCGAATCCGCCACCAAAACACGTTCCCAAAAAGGCGACAAGACGAAAGCCGAGCACGATCGTGTCCATGACGACGTCGACGACGACAGCAGTAGCAACAGCGGTGACGACATTCCAACTTCGATACCGATAACGATCCAAACCGGGGACGTCCAGGTCCTAAAGGGAAGAGGAATGCCGAAGCGGAACCGCAGCGGCGAGTTCGGAGACCTTTACATTCAGTATCGTGTAGAAATGCCGAAAAACTCGAACCAGAGCAAGAGCCCTTCCGGCAACGCACTGACKAACGACGAGTACAAAGAACTGGCTAGACTGCTGTCCAAACTAGGCGAAACCACCAGCAGTAAGGATTCCACCACCCGGCGAACGAACTCCAGGACCGGCACCAAGGACGAAGAACAAACACGGCGTGAACAACTGCCACCACCCGAAATCCATTCCCTCGCGCAAGCAAAGGCCTCCGAGTACGGAACCGCGAGCGGAACGGTGGAATGGGAACACGACGAGGCCGGGAGCGGCTTTCACGAAGACCACGGGGACGAATACCATCCATTTGCCTCGAGCTTTTTTGGTGGCCAGGGCTTTGGGGGTGGTGCCCGAACCTATTCGCAGAGCTTTCACTTTGGTGGCGGAGCTGGTGGTGGCAATCCCTTTGGAGGAAACCCAGGTGGCGACGACGATGGCAATGTTCAGTGCCAGCAGATGTAGGGTCCTCTAGTAAAAATACTGTTTCTCTTCAACCATGTGGACTCCTTCTTTAGCATTTTTCAATAAAGATTTTCGAATGCGTTGTCCTTGCATGCTCCTTGATCTATTTGCAGGTGATGCTACTTTTGTGCTTTTCAACATTCACCAACTGAATCCAATAGATGTTCAACCTGCAACCAACCAAGGGGGCTTGGGCAGAACTACGGTACCATACCGCGCGTAACCTACATTCCCGATCCATACTAGAAGCCATGAAAAACAGTTTACTTTGTCAAGGAAGCATCCGTGTACTACAGTTTCAATCGGTTGCTGTCGATCGATTACTGCAGAGGTCTACAAAGCCATCAGAACAGTTGGCAAGAATTTCTGGATTGGTCCATCAAACGTTCGCGACCCAATGTCAAGCACTGGTATTCGTATGGCAATCTTCGTTTCRGGTCATTTAAAGATCAAAGAGCCTCAATATTCTGAATTTGCATTCAAATTTTTGGATTCGGCATACCAATCGACATGCACTACGAAACACAACCTCTAGAGCAAAGTTAATGCAAGTTCATATCTATTATAGCTGCATTTTTGAAAGATATCGAGTAACCTTGTCGGAGACTCTACTATTATTTGAAGTTTGGAAGCGATCAACCCCTTGTTTATTCGTCGTCGTCGTCATCATCGTCTTCCTCGTCATCATCTTCATCSTCATCGTCGTCGTCATCATCGTCATCCTCATCGTCGTCATCATCGTCATCTTCTCCAGGAACAATGGATTTCTCGTTAAATTTGTCCCAGTTGGCTATCATCTCTTCTTCGGTTTGTTTCTTAACTTGGAATTGATGCGTCAGGCCCTGAACGCGAAGCTCGCTACCGTAAATGTCGCCTCCGGAGTGTCCGTGGTCCCAGGGATGTTCCATTCCCAGCAAGACCTTTCCGTCCTGCTTAAATCTCCAGAATACCCACAGCCAGGCAATGGTACCGAAGGCTTCGCCCAGACGCTCACCGAATTCATTTGTTTGCATGTAGCTTTTAGGGTACAACRCGGATCAGAAATGCGGGGCACGGTATTCGTTCAACGATAGCGATGTTACAGCCAACACAACGAATGCATTATAATTTAGTTCGAAACAAATAAAAAATCAGGACAAAACATAAGAGGCCGGTATGAATCATTGGTATCATTTCGTTGCCGAGAAAAGATTCCATTGCGACAAGAAGCACCGAAGTGACGACACACTCTCTTCAAGATCTGTTCCGAAACTAACTTACGCTCCGCCTCCACCCATGGAGCGTTTTTGTGATTGATGGGTTTGTTGCTGCGCATTTCGCAGCATTCGCTTCCCAACCTGGGAGCGAAGGAAGGCAGAAGATCTCGAGAACATAGTTGTCTCCGTACTCCACTACCTGCAATCAATAGTGCAATCGATCAAACAAACAACTAGTAAAACAACCTGTTGTTGCACCGTCGCGACTGTTGACATCCGCGTGTGCGATGTTACTGTTACCGCTGTTTGAAAAGGGTGATGGTAATGAGTTTAGTACGGTACTACTTGGTACGTGGAATAAGTACTTGTACTGGAAGTGCCGTGGGTGTTCACGAAGTTGCCGAAGCGAATTACAATATTACAATACTCGTAGTATTTGAAATTTCGAATTTAAGGTTAAGGCTTTTAAAATAGACTCAATCGACTTAAAACACTTTTCAAAAACTGGTTTGTTCTGATTTCTGACTCAAAAAAACTCGAAATCAGAATCATCGAGTGCATCATCTCTCACACGTCGAACGTAACACACCGTACCGTACGGAAACTGGTACGATAGAGCAATAGACTAACTACGGCAACACATGCCAACAAGTTTCGGAAAAGAAATTCCAATTCCGTCAATCGAGGTTTGAACGCATTAAAATGCAATTGTAAAGCATTCCGAACCATGTCATTCCAACAAATCATYCGAAGACGGCCGTGGATTGCAGCAGCCGGAACCGCAGTTAGCGGCGCTGCCGCCATCGAATACTACTCGGACTACCACGAAAAAAACGCTGGTACGTACCTCCACATCCCGTCAGCAAAGTTCCGAAAACCGAGCTGTAGATCACTAGCTTTCCAGCACGAAGTAGCACGATAGTGTCTAAATTTTGTAAGGTTAGCGGTGCTCTCAYCCTGGTGCTTTTTCTCTATGGCCGAATGGAACGGAATGCAGCCAACAAAACCGAGTACAGCCTTCCGCGATCCTACGATCGAGAAAGGTTTCGAAACTATTGGATTCGAAGGCCCGTTTCCGTGGTCTCTCGTTTCGGAGAAATCGGATACCAGTTGGGTCCAACCCTTGCGTCATACTTATACCACAAACACTCACCGCGGAGTGGCGAAGGCGAAGACGACGACAACGACGAAATCATCCGAACGCAGCAGCGGCAGGCGGTGCAGTTCCGCACGGCTCTGACCAATCTCGGGCCCGCCTTTGTCAAAATCGGTCAGCAGGTGGCCATCCGCCCGGATTTAGTGCCTCCATTGGTTCTGAAAGAACTTCAAAAACTGTGCGATTCCGTGCGGCCGGTCCCCGACGAGGTTGCCCTGCAACTTCTGCGGTCGGAGCTACAGCTTGACACAGAAATGAACTCCGAAGAAGACAGCAATGCCGAAGAAGAGCGAGCAAAAGGAGGAACATCACGAACCAGCTTGGACGATGTTTTTGAAGACCTGCACCTTGTGGCATCAGCTAGCCTGGGACAGGTATACAAGGCGAGGCTTCGGGAATCCGGAGACCTCGTGGCCATAAAGGTGCAGCGCCCGGGGATGGAAAAGGCCTTCGGTCTCGATTTATTTTTGTTACAGATGTGGGGAGACTTCATGGATGCCTTCACCAACACCTTTACAAACCAGATTCCATACCATAGAACCTTTTTCGATGCCTTCTCCCAGGGATCCTATTCCGAGTTGGATTACGAAAACGAAGCGCGCAATCAGATGCACTTTCAGCAGGAACTGGCAGCCCGCAATTGCAAGGTGAAAGTGCCAAACGTGTACGAAGAATACACAACTCGTCGAGTATTGACCAGCGAGTGGATCGAGGGTGTAAAACTGGCCGATTCGCCSAAAGAAACCATTCGAGAATTGATTCCAATCGGAGTAGAGCTGTTCTTGACGCAGTTGCTAGACATGGGAACTTTTCACAGCGATCCGCACCCCGGAAACTTATTGGTAACGAAAGATGGAACGCTCTGCCTGCTGGATTTCGGCCTGTGCGCCGAAGTCGAAGTTGGGGCAAGAGAAGCCATGACGAAGGCTATTGTGCACCTTCTATACCGTGATTTCGACACCCTGATCCACTCCGATACGAAAGAACTAGRGTTTCTTCCCCACGATTTCGACACAGAGGAACTTAAACCCATTCTGACCAAAGTTTTGACCGGTGGGCTCCTGCAGACAGGTTCCGACCTGAAAAAACGAAAACGGAAACTGATGGAAATCTCGAACGAGCTGAACGAGATCTTCTTTCGGTACCCCTTTCGCGTTCCGGGATTCTTTGCCCTGRTGACCCGCGGTCTCGGTTTGCTCGAGGGCATTGCCCTCGTGGGTGATCCCGATTTTGATATATTCATGGCTTCGGCGCCATATGCGACGAAACGAGCCGTTTCTATTCTGGGGCAGCAGGCGACGGGATACCGGCGCCTGAGCCAGGCTTTGAAGAGGCCCACTACGAGCTTTTCTCCCTCTGTATAAAAATAAATGAAGGAGCGAGAAATCAAGGCAAAGGCTTGGCTCAATATGAGAGAACAAATGAAACGTGTGTGCCACTAACTATCACGGACCGCGACTTCAAATCGGAAAAATTCAAACTCTGTAAAATATAGATTTCACTTGCATCATTAAAACATAACTTTCAAGAAAATTCAGCACACGCATCGTGGATTTTGAGTAGCTAGAAAAATATGCATGGGTACACATGCCTCCTACAATAGTGCGATTCTATCATTTCATAACTTAAAAAGATAATAACCCTGCATAATATGATTACTCGAACCATCGTTTTGACTTGACGGCTTCTCGCGGATTCGCCTTGGGGGCCTTCTGATCCTTCGCGGATTCTAATTTTGATTGGTACGAACGAACAATGCTCTCGAATTCTTCGTCGTCCTCGATCTTCTTGAGCTGACTCTTTTTCTTCTTTGGTGGTTTTACAGACTTTCGTTTCAGTTCTTCGGCCTTTTTCTTCTTTTCCTCTGCCCGCTCCTTTCGAAGTTCCTTCTTGGCTTCGTACATCGCCTTCTTTTGCAGCTTCAGCATGCGCTCCCGTTCTTCCTCGCCAGATTCTCGCTTCTGTCTCTTCTTCTCTCGTTGGATCGCCCCACGTCCCTTCCTCTTGGTTTTGTTTTCTTCTTCGTCCTCAAGTTCTTTTTTCGCCTTTTTCTTTTCTAATTTCTCTAGCAGTTGTTTTGATTGATTCAATTGCTGCTGCAACCGTCGCTCGGCTTGTTTCTTGGCTTTGACCTTGTTTTCGACGACGAAATCAACGATCAGTCGGGGAACGCGAACACGACCGTCTTCGTCCTGATAATCTCCAGGCTTGACGTTGGTTCCTTTCTTGTTCTTTCGGTTGGGCTTTTTCTTCAGGGCAGCCGCCGACTTTCCACCAGCGGCATACTCTTTGCTGTAAGTGGAATTGTTGTTCAACTCTCTTAAACAGGCCAGAGCGTGCGTGTGGTGTGTGAATTCGGCGAACCCAAACCCACGACTCGGAGCATCTGTTTTTTTCCCGCTGGGTCCAAAATCTCGATCGATGTAAACGGATGGAATGAAATCTTTGATGTTCTTGCGACGCTTTTTCTTGCCGTCGTCCTCGTCCTTCATTTCGTGGTCGCCATCGTAACTCCAGGGGGGGATGACATCTAGGTCTTTGCCCTCGATCTCTTGGACCTTGGCAAGGATCTCTCGCGTGGACATTTCACCCTGAGCCCTCCAGTGAGCTATTTGGTCGGCGGCAGCAACCAATCGTTTCTCCAGCCCTCTCTTGGTAGCAAGCTCAATAAGTTTTTGCAAGCCGGCTTCGTCAATGTGTTTCCCCATATTCCTGAAGGATAGTCGGTTTGGATTGATGAAAAAGATTGGCGACTGCAATTTGGCAGTCTTATCCTTGAGAGCCGTTTGACGCTTTCTTTGATCTTGCTGTGGTAGATCGTCCCATGTATCCGTGTTGTTAGCATTTGGAYCACTGGAACTACTTTCTACCCGTGCCTCGGCTTGCAAATACATATTTCTTCGATCAGCCTGCGGAATTTTGTATTCCTTGGAATCGAAAGTCGCAGCCGTTTCTTTATCCACTGCCATATCGACTAGAATTTTTCGCCCCTTCAATATCAAGGATCCCTTAATCTGCGATGCATCGTCACCGCCTTCATTCGATCTTCCGGCACTCTGCCGTTGCGATACAAAAGGGGTTCCAGTGGACGAAGACGCTGCGAAGTCCATAGCTCGTTGTGCCCCTTGTGGCTTCGAATAAGTGACAAAGGCGGTACCCTTAAGCATCCCAGTATTTTTGTCCTTTACGAGATAAATGCCTTTTATATGGCCAAATTTGTATAGTAGTTGAAAGATGTCGTGCCTCGTTGTATCAAACGGAAGATTTCTCAGAAACAAGCAGCATTTTTTCCCAACAGAGTCGTCCACGGGTTCTTCCTCCTCTTCTTCGCTATCTTCATCTTCGTCGCTATCTTCTTCCATAGCATCGCTATTTTGCTCGTTTGACGCTGATCCGTCGCTGTCGCTATCATCGTTACTGCTATCGCTGTCGCTACCATCGTCATCGTCGCTGCTGTTCGACGTCACGCTCTCGGCGTCATCCTCTTCCTCCTCCTTCTTGTCCGCCAGTTCTTTTTCCTTCCTTCGATTCAGTTCTCTCTCTTGTTGCTGCTGCTGCTTTTGCTGCTGATGAAGCTTTTTAGGGAGACTCCAATCCATGCTGACGGCGCGCTTCTGAATGTCKACATTTTTGCTCTCGACGGCTTTTTGAGCGTCTTTTGGATTTTCGAAGGTAACGAAGCAAAAGCCAACGTGCAAATTGCTTTTGACCTTTGGCAGGTGGACGTCCAAAACCTTTCCGTACTTGGACTCCATGACTTTTCGAATATGGTTCTCCTTGGCGTAAAAGGACAGGTTGCGGAGAATGATTCTGGATTTCTTTTTCAGCATTGCTGCCTCGTCCAGTCCTTCCTGTGAAGCAGGAGCACCCGTATCCTCTTTCCTCTTTTCTCCACGAATGTTTGCCTTGAAATTTTTGCTGTTTGCGGCGCCCGACGCAGAAGCCAAATCCACCTTGAGCGTATATGTTTTCCCCTCCATTTGAATCTTCGAATTATTCAGATCTTTCTGAGCCGCTACCGCATCTTCCTGGGCGAGGTACTTGATGAACCCATATCCCTTTGACGAACGACCGGTAGTTCCTCTCTGATAGTTTTCGCCATCTCCAGAAGGAGCGGTTGCACCTTTTGTGTTGATCCAAGAGGACTTTTTGATCGGACCCGCCTGAGAGAAAATATCCTCGAGCTCATGGCGCATCACCTTGTGCTGCGGAGTCGGCTCAAAGCGGACAAAGACGGTATTTTCCATTGATTTCTGCATCTTTATTGTGGTATATGTGTTTCCCCCAGGAGAAGAAAATGGAGGAGATGCTAGTCGATTTGTTAGTGTTCTAGGAGTGAAGCACTCGCCCGAATTCTCGGTGTGAATGAAGAGTGTTGAAAGTAGTGAAAAAGAAATCGACAAAACTTGATACAGAACGTCCTAGCCTCGACCCCATTCAAATGAGAAATTTACCCCCGAGAAATATCAGAGAATGCCACAGACGAAATCCAAATTTTGTGATTTTTGTTGGTTTCGAGAGCGATTTTCATGTTGACGGGTGACGGGGTGACGGAAAAATGAGGAAGGCYAAAATGAAGACTAATTTAGTGTTAAGCAATTTCACTTTGGTCGTTACCGCTCTACCTTTGCTACTAGTTTTCTTTACGTATTGTTCTACTGGGATTGTACCAGAGTATCTCGTAACCATTTCTTTAGCGTACTGGGAAGTCCCTGCAGCAACTAGGGGTGACTTGCGCAGCTACTCATCGTTACCTCACGCTTCTTGTCCAATAGTTTCAGCATAATAGAAGATAACTGTTCACGATGGTACGTTGACCATGGCAAGAAAGACCTTGACCTCTCATGTGTTCGGAAACAATGAAAAGCAATACTGATAGAAGATCGACTCTGGTGTGGTAACGACGACAACCTTGGACTCGATTGATCGATCAGGAGGGTGGACCGCAGAGGCCTCGGAGCGATATCATGTAGTGAACAGCGGCGGCTATCCCACCCTTGGCAGTGTCGAATGGAACCGGCCCTCGTTTTGCAACAAAGGTAGACCGAGGAGTGTTCCACATTCCCTCTGTATAAGGCTTTTCCTTTGAGTCACTTCATTACATTCAAACATCAACCGAACACCCTCCTAGGTCATGCTCCGTGACGCGTAACGTAGATCGATCTCCTCCGGATGTYCATTGTTCTCTAACCGAAGACCTTTCCCTTCCTTCTTTTCATCCATTTTCTTCTGCAAAACACAGCCTTCCCAAAAGACTTTCCGAACAAAGCGCACGCTTGCCAAGAAGCAAAGGCAGAACCGCCCTTTGCCACACTGGGTTCGTCTTCGAACTGATAACACTATCAAGTGGAACGCCAAGCGTCGTCACTGGCGCCGCACTAAGTTGGGTCTTTAAAGTCACTGTTTGCTTTTCTCAGTAAAATATGGGGGCAATGAATTCGTGGACGAGCTTGTAAAATACAACGTCCGACGGAACATAATAACTCTTACGCCAAAAGTATAACGAACCTCTAGATCACAACACACCATCGAAACAATTGTCTCTGTTAATACGCACATGTACTTTCTATTATTTGTAGAATGAAAGCTAGATGCTATCGCATTTCAGAACGGGAGAGCGATGGATGATGTTCTTCTAGACAGGAATACAATGTTGAAAAGCAAAATAAATATCGCTAGACTCTGTTGCACCGCCATGCGGACTTCCATTTGGCTAGTCCGTTATAACTATTTAACGTATCCATCTTGGCAACAACGTATGACTTTCCTGCCTGGAGAACGAAGTGATAACTATCTTCTCGAATATGATAAATCGTTCTCTCCATGCCTTCTGGTAGCTCGAAGTATAATGATAATACTACTGTACTGGTTTGTCGCGTTTATTGACCTAAAGGAAAGTTTCACGCCTACCTACGGTACGGGTGGGAAGAATGTGCCACTTCAAAGACTAAGACTTTGAATGTTGTTCTTGGTTGTGGTAGTATATCTTTCCTCGGCGTTCACAACTCGTGCTGTTTTCTGGGAGTTCTGTGCAACGAAGAATCATGATCCTAGGTTACCTTTGTCTTCAGTCCAACTGACAATTTGATGGCAGTTTCTCCGAGAAGCTAATCGATTGCTTTCAACATGTGTGGTATTGGACCATAATGGATTGATACATGAATTTGAGTAGGAAAACTTTAGTGTCCTAAAAATAATAATTATTACAGAGGCTCAAAACCACTTCTCAACCGCATGTTGACTGCGGGAGAAGCCTTCTATGGAATTGTTGCTCATCGCTGTTTCTAGCTAAACCCGTTCACCARAACGTGCGTTGTGTTTAGTACTCCAAGAAAAGTCCAATAACTGGGTTTCCATCGATTTGTTCGTGAACCATAAGTCCAAGAACTCCCATCATGGCGGCACGTCCGTTGTTCAATTCAATGGCACGCTTTCGAAGTTTCTGAAGTGGAAAATAAAACAGAAGAAACAAGGTAGTGTGAGTTGGAAATTATGCCAAGGCAAAAGGAACGGTTACTTTCAAGTCAGAAACATTCTGAACTTACGGTTTCAGGTCCGAAGGTATCCCATCCGTAGTCAAGGGCTCCGTTACGGAAATCTCCGGCGAATTCGGCTTCTCCGGTGACATCCTTCATGACACCAAGCTCAAGAGCTCCGATCAAGGCAATGATTTGTCCGAATCCGGCCGCTGGGATGGCATCAGGTCCGAAAAGGGCGGCGGCTCCATCAGGGAAGGAGTCGAAGCGGTCTCCGGCCAAGTCAATGCTTCCAGGAAGGTGGATTCCGGCACGGGTGACGAGCTGTCCAACGAAGGCAAGCATACAGATACGTCCGTGCTTGAGTTCGACGTATCGAAGACGGTCGAACTTGGCTTGGTCACCATCCTCAACGAATCCCAAAGGATCGTAGAATCCAAGGGGTTCTTGGGCACCAAGTTCACTCTCGAAGGCCTTGATGGCAGTGGAGGTGGATGCTTGCTTGGCAGGGGCGAAGGCCGAAACGGCAGCGACAAGGGTGGCAAAGATGGCAGACTTCATTGTGGACGATGATAAGTTATATTATGTGGAATTATGAAAGATGTGGTGATCGTCGCAACTAGAGGTATCCCAAGAGGTATCCTACGTAAGCCGCAAAAGTCGACAGTAGGAGGTCCTCCCGAAGAAAAGAAACCATAGCTCCCGATCTTTTCAAACTTCAACGAGAACTATTGCAGTCAAAAGTAAAAAACATTTTTTGAATCCCGAACCATAATTCAGAAAAATTAGAGGCTTGAAGAAGATCAATTTCGATTCTCAGTTGTATGAAGGGGGTTTGGCGCAGTTGGCAGCGCGTGTGCTTAGCATGCACAAGGTCGCCGGTTCGATTCCGGCAATCTCCATTTTTTTCGTTGGGCACACGAAAGAAAGAAACCGAAGACACAATCATACGACTCGGCGCTTTTTGTTGATCATTGCACGACTTGAAACCACTCCACGCTCGTTGATTGTGAGGAGGCGATTGAGATGTTGTTCACCTCGCTTGCACGTGCACAATTTCCCTGCTACAAGGAGTTCGTAGTAGTACGGTAGATGCCAGTATTCTCTCATACACATTGGGCTGTTATGTTTTGCATGAAAACGTCTAATGGTGCCGCGGAATTACAAACAGAAAAAGGAAATGGAGAACTTGTACTGAGTCGTCTTTCGTCGAGACGATACATCATACAACGGCAATACTGTAACATCAAAAACAGACACCCATCGAAAGAGTACGATACCCATAGGAAGACAACGCACAGCGGAAAAATAGGAATGCGGCTGATGCCCACCGGAACAATATCTATCAAGCGCCTCTAAAATAAAAAATAAGAGACAGCGACGGGAGGCCCAGGCTGAATCAATCATTGCATCACATCGCTTGGCATCGCATCCAATTACACCACATTGCCACCCCGCCGAACCATGCCTTTCTTTACAAGAATAATGCAATCTCCACGGTTCCTGGCATGCGTCATGGGTGGTTTTCTGATTTCAGTTATGGCATCGCCTTCCTTTCCTTTCGTCAACGGCCCTCTTGCAGTGCTTCTGATAATAACCGTTACATTCTGCTTGCTATCAATCTCAATGGGATATTACGACGATGAATCAATAGAAATAAGGAACAAGCAAGGAACAAGTTGTTACAAGAAGGCTGAATATCTGCTCATTTTCGCACCCAGTTTTGCCCTCTCCATCCTTCTCTTGATCCGCCTATTTTCAAGAAATAAGTTTTTTACAGTGCCGGGCCTACTTGAATTTGGACCGAAAAATGGCGACATGAATGAATTTATCAGTAACATAGCCTTTCTCGGTGGAAGTGGCACTGCATTCGGACACTGGATCCAAGGTTTTCTCGCTAGCTTTTTGCTYAGAGTCAACTGTAAAAAATGCAAGAAGAATGATGTGGATGACCTGTCATTTCACGATAGCGATGGGAATGCCGACGATCAAAGGATGGCTTGGCGCTGTGGTCGTACACCCCCAGGCATGAACATTGCCAATATTGCGGCCTACTACGGTACAATATACCCGACTTATAATTTTGTCAAGCGATGCATTAGAACTCCAGACACATTCGCAACGTCGTCGTATATGAATAATGGAATGGAGTGGGCTCTGGGATTTTGGACTGGGCACGCGGCAGGATTCATTGCCGATACCATGTTTTATAACAGGATGCGCCCAATTGCAAATGCAAGTGGTTCTGATAGCACCGCTGAGACGGTAGTTTCAATAATATCAGAAGAAGAAACGAGACCGTCATCTGCAATAACAACAACAACTGCCGATGTTCCAGTTCCAGAGCCCACAATTCGAAGCGAGGACAAACGATGGAACTGCCCTTTTAGTTTTTCGTTTGTTCTTCTCATGCTTGGTTGGGTGATTGGGACTTTATTTTTGACCTCCGTTTTTGGAGCATGCATCATGACGGGGTATACTTGGAATAAGTGCGAGGGGGAGTCCGAGGAATGTGTGAATTACAACCCTGATGAATTTCCAGCAATTATCGCATTTATCATTACAATGGTTCCTACGCTCACCGTGTGCGCCGTTTTGTGTTGACGAGGGTTCTAGGTTTGAGCTTTTTTGTAAAGTGCAAATTCGTTTAGTGATATATCGATGTATCATTGAGGCAGTCAAATTCTGATCACGGTGTAACCTTGCATATAGAAATATAGATAAACCAAATTGTGTGCTTCTATTAAACACGTCGAACACATGATGAATGGCAAAATAATTCGTTGCAATACGGTATTGGCAATCAGTCTCATCATCGATGATATATAATCATGATATAGGACTATGCTCAATTACGACAGCTCCTCAATCAGTGGTTGGACAAACAGTACCCCGAAGACTATGATCTGGATAACAACGAAAGACAAAGCTGCAAAAGCCGTATTGGCACGTCCCAGTACCGCTGCTTGGACAAAAGCATCCAAGTCAACTTCGTTCTTCGCCGGCTTGACCTTGCTGAGGACCTTGGCGACCTTGTCCGGCGTGGCAATACTAGCTCCACTGTGTGCACATTATTTTTGGGAGCGTGGGTGAACGATTCAGTAGTTTCGGTTTCGAAAAATAGTGGGGCATGAAACAAAAGGGCCGAGTCAGGTTAGTAGCCGCTTACATGTTATAAATGCTGGGACATAACATTAAAACCTGCATTTAATTCGAGTCATAGCCATTCCTTAATGAAAAATAAAATTCCATGGCCGGAGCAGGCTCAACTGGACCAGTAGTTTGAGTATTACTTACCCTGTCCACGAATCAAAAACAGCATCGAGTGCTGCATCTCCGATGATGGCATCTTTCTTTGAGATGCGCTTTTCCTCCGACTGCTTCAACTCTTCTCCTCCAACCGGCAAGCCGGTCTTGGGATCAGTTGGCCAGCCAAGAAATTTGCTTTTTCTAATCAGCACCTTGAATGCCTTTCGGGGCAGCCACATAGGAGGCTCCGCACCGGGAGTTACAGTCCCCCGTGTGGCGGAGGGAAGATTTCTCCAGTCGACGATGCTCTCTGTGGCTTCGATCCGTCCCAAAACAGCGACGATGTCGGCGACCGGAATTTTGTCGCTGGCGAACAAGAGCTGACTGCTTGGCAACTCAGGCCCGGTAGCACCAGAATCTAAGACATATTCTCGGTACTTGATGTTGTTTGCGTYTCCCATGGTTGGATCGAATGTGTTGTTTGGATCATAGTTCTCGAATGTTTCTAGGTCCGCGGGGGGTTCTTTGCCCTCCGGGATGTACCCCTTTCGTCCCGATAGGGCGGAGAACATGGCAGAATTTGCTGAAAGGGTTGCGGGGATCAAGCCGCCGCCCAGAACCAAGGCAATGATGACACTTTTTCCGAACTCTTCCGATATTTCAGCGGTTGTGATTGTGCTCATTGGGTCAACCATACTCCTTGACGATGTTCTCGATGTCGTCGTAGCAGTAGGGGCCAAAAAGGCTTCCCCAACCATGATCATTGACAGAAAAAGAAATGCTCTTGAAGAAACCATTTTGTGAATTTATTTGTTGGGAAATCGTTTTGTTCCACACTGAGAAAATAGGAAGCACCAGTAGCAAAAATATGATGATCGAGAGGAATAAGTTTGATAGTCAGTAAGAACGGCAATGTGTTGCTCAGTGTTTTTCTCAGAGCGGGTCTTCTGAAATGCCGATGACGATTGAATATTGGATTCGGATCCATGAAGATGCCTTCCATCTGTAAAAAGTTGCTCGCGCCCGAACTATTACGTACGGTACTTGTACTCATGACTGGACTGAAAAGTAAATGCCATTTTCTTCCTTCATTTTTTGACAAGCAGCTGCCGAGCAACTGCCAACCATTTGGCGACAGAGTACGCTAGCTTTGTTCATTGATCTAGATACGTACTGTACTGTACTGTACTGTACTGTACTGTACTGTACTGTACTGTACTGTACTG